AGATTTTTCTTGTTTCCTGAGATAAGCTTGTATAGCTGTAAACTTCCCTTGCTGGGTTTATTTTTTTAATACAAACAAATTCTCTACCATATTTTTACTTTCAGGTTCATGGATTTTTTTTCATACATACAACGATCTCCATTACATTTTTGTAGACTGATTAAGATTTATTTAATAAGTGTGCTTTTCTAAAAGATTCACATAATTATGAATCTTATACCACAAAATCTCTTGTTAAATTCATAATGGTTTACAAACACAGCCAAAAATTACTGTTTTCAAATCTGCCCCTCCTCCTCCTTCCATTGCATACCTCCCCCAAAATATGTTTCTTCAAAAATGTGACTGTCACCAAGATAGGTTGATTTAATCTGGATATCTTTCTAACCCCTACTTTAAAAGTTCACCTTAAAATCTTTATCAGTTATGTGAAGATGATATTTTCTTCGTAGTCCTCATTATTGAGATACTATAGTTTAGAGTCCAGAGAAACAAATCTATATATTTAACAAGGTATTCAGTCAAATGGTCACAGGTTGTCTTTTCCCTTTCAGTCCCCATACAGTCTTCAACACAAAAAGATGAAAATACAGCCTCTAATATAGTCAGGACTGAAGTTTAAAATATTTCATGCTGCTATACCTTAAAGTTGCTATACTTTCCTGAGACTTGAGCTTAATTACTAAAGAAAAAGATCTTATTACATATTCCAGGTATAGTCTTAGATCACTACATGAGATATCTGTCAGCAAAAAGTAATTCAGAACAAAACATTTACATTCAGAGAAATAATTCTGATGTATTCAATAATGAAAACTATAAAAATCCATATAAATTAATTTCAGCAACATAAAGAATACTATCCTATGAAAACCTACTATTCTCTGTGAAATATTACATAAATACAACTTCAGGAGTTGAAGGTGAATGTCACAACGTCATGCAAATGGGAGTCACACACTATGTACCCTTTTGTGCCTGGCTTTTTGAGGGCAGGGTTCCTGGTTTTTTTCACTTACCATAGCGCTTTTGAGATTTATCAATGTTATTGCACTTATCAGTAATTCACTCTTTCTCACTTTTGAATCCTCCATTACATGGTATACCACAGTTTATTTATCTATTTACCAGCTGATGTACATTTGTGTTGCTTCCAGTTTACAACAATTATAGACAAAGGCTCCTTAAACATTCTCATAAGTCTTTGCGTGTATACATACATATTATATTTCTCTTACGTAAATACCCAGCAGTGGGATCCCTGGGTTATGTGATAAATGCATGTATAACTTTATAAGAAAAAGGCCAAACTGTTTTTCAAAGTAGCTCACCATTTTACAAACCAACCAGGAATGTGTCAGTGTTCAGCTCTTCTCCATTTTCACATATACTTGATATTGCCAGTTTTAAAATTTTAGTTATTCTAATAGGTGTGTACTGATATTTCACTGTGGTCATAATTTGCAACCTCCTGATGACTAATCACATTGAGCAACTTTTCATATGTGTGCTTTTTTGGGGGTGGGGGACATCCATCCAAATCCTTTGCCCATTTTTAAATTGGGCTATCTTTTTATTATTGAGTTGTAAGACTTTAGATATCAATCATTTATCTAATACAGTAAGACCCTTACATACAAATGAGTTCCATTCCAAGAGTATGTTCATAAGTCCGATTGGTTTATCAGTCTAGCAAAGTAAGCCTAAGGTACCCAACTAAAACAATCCACTACATAGTACTGTACTGTAAGAGGTTTATAATACTTCTCTTACAAATAATACATAAAAAATAAAGAAAACATTTTAAATCTTACAGTACCGTACCTTAAAAAATACAGCAGTACCAGTTACATTACTGCTGCTTTTACACTTGCTTACAGACACACTGAGCCTGAAATAAAGATATTGTCCTGGACTTAGAGATTTCTGTACAGTGAAGTACACAAACGCACAGCCACTTGAGAGGATATGCATGTACGTGACAATGAATGCCAGGTATGTGAACTAACCTATACAACTGGACACGTGATCACAGGTTCGCATCTTTGAAAGTTCGCAATTTGAAGGTCCACATGCAGGGGACTTAACTGTATGTGATTTGTTAATATTTTCTCCTATTCTGTAAGTTGTCTTTTCACTCTCTTGACAGTGTAGTTTTGAAGCACAAAAGTTTTAAATTTTGATGATGCCCAATTTATTGATTTTTTTTCTGCTGCTGTACTTTAGGTATATATCTAAGAAACAATGGTCTAATCTAAGGTCATAAAAATTTATGCCTATGTTTTTTCCTAAGAGTTTAACAGTTTTACATTCTGAATTAATTTTATATGGGGTGTGAAATAGAAGTCCAATTTCATTCTCTCACACATGGATATCCAGTTTTATGAGCACCGTTTGTTGAAAAGATTATTTTCCCCTTTCACTTGTCTTTGCAACTATATTCTCCCAGTCAGTGGTTTACCTGTTTATGTTCTTAGCAATATAATTCTGAAGAGAAGTTTTGAATTTTGATAGTATCTATCTTAAAAAAAATGGTTTGTGCTATTTGTGTCCCATCTAAGAAATTCTTCCCTAACTAAAATCCTATATATTTCTATGTTTCATTCTAGAAGGGTTACTAGTTTTAGCTCTTACATTTAGGTCTATGATTCATTTTAAGTTGATTTTTGCATATATTGTAAAGTAAGGTTTGGGAACTGAAATCCCTTGTCAAGTCTGTTGAAAATCAATTGACTGTATATGTATGGATCTATTTCTGTTCCATTTATCTATATGCTTACTCTTAAACTTCACTACACTGTCCTGATCTTAAAATTCAACACTGTTAATCCTCCAACTTTGTTCTTAGTTTCCAAAATTGTTTTGGCTATTCCAGATCCAATATTGCCATATGAAGTTTAGAATTAATGGTTACTTTATAAAAAAAAAGCCTGCTTAGGTTCTGAGACTACCTGGACTCTGGTTGGGGAATTCCTAACATTTTAATACTGAATTATCCAATCCATCAACACTTTGTCTCAGTATATGAAATCATTTTCAGTATACAGGTCTTATACACACTTTGTCAAATTTATCCCTAAATTTTTCATGCTTCTGCTTCTACTGTAAGTGGTGCTATATTTGTTACGTCTATTTGAGATTGCTTATTGCTAAAATATCGAAATAAACTGCTTTTTGTTTATCAATCTTCTAGCTTACAACTTCAATGATCAGTTCTTGTAGGTCTTCCTGTAGAATCTTGAGGATTTTCTGTACCAAAAAAAATGCTGTCTGAATAAATTTTAATTCTTCCTTTTTAATCTCTATGATTTTTCCTCTTATCTTATTTCACTGTCTAAAACTTCCAGAATAACAGTGAATGAAATAATGAAAGAAGACAGAGTTGCCTATTCCCAGTTCTTGGAGGAGAGCCTGTAGTCATACACAATTAAATACAATCTGAACTATAGGTTTTTCGTGGCCTCTCTTATCAGGATAAGAAATTTTCCTCCAATTCCAAGTTTGCAGAGAGATATCTGCAAACCAAGAATGAATACTGAATTTTTTCAAATGCTTTTCCTATATCTACTATAATGATATTATGGATTTTCTTTTTAATATGTTAATATGATAAATTATACAAATTGACTTTTGAACCTTAAACGAACTTTGCAATCCTGGTATAAATTCTACTCAGTCAAAATTTTTACCTAATGCAAGATATGAATTACTAAAACTTTTAATAATATTCTCTGTATTTTTCTTCAATCTAAAAACTAGACTAAACTACACAGGTTAATCAGTTTAAACAGTTTAGCTTTTTACCTTCATTTTACTTATTACATTTCTACTATGGCTACTGATGTTCCTATTTATAAAATACAATGTAAAGGCAAACTTAATATTATGAAAGCAGCAATGTTGCACAGTAAAACCAGTAATAGATTTTTTAAAATGTGTTCCAATTCTTGTGATCAAATTATACTCTCCCACCACCCCCCTACTCTCTGTACTAACAAGCATTTATCCTTTTGCCTCCCATCAAAGAACTGGTCAAGCTTCTCCATCTTTTCAGTTCTTCTGTACTGTTAAGTAAGGAGGTGAAGTAAATTAAACAGCACTAAAATTTTCCTGCAATATCAGTAAGATGTGAGAAATTAAGAAAACTTGTTTAAAAGTTTGCTATTCAGAATCTGGCACTATATTGCAAAACAGAATTAAGGCTGAAAAAATATTTTTATAAATAAGAGAGAAACAGAAACCCAAAGGATTGATAAGTAAAATTCTGAGGCAGGATTTCAAAGTGTAGAAGTGATAAAAGAAAGTAAATCTAAAGTTAAAAAGATCTTACTATTTAGAAGAATAAAACTTTTCTAACAAAACATACGTAACCAAAATTGGCAGATAACACTAAAACAAACTCAAACTAAATGTATCAATATGTATGGTTTAGGAATAGATTTTAAAAAATGGAGTGGGGAAGATTTTATGACCAAAATTCTTATTATCAATTATTTAAGATGAAAAATTTGAAACTATTTTATTAAGTTTTCTAATCAAATTTGAAACAAAATATCTAATATCAAAATCTTAAAAACATGTTTTTATAAAAGAACATCTGTAAAACTTAAGTATATGCCAGGTTTCATGAAGAAAATTCATATCTTACAGGTAGGAGCGCTTTTCATATGTAATCAATTGTTAACCAGAAGGTATTAAAATATAACAGCTAATTTATTTATAAAAGAAAAATAGAGAATAAAACATTATTGAAACTCAATGTGCACGTATGCTTAACGTATTTATTTTAACCATTTACTTTTTATTCCCTTCTCTGCAAGATATTTTAGATTTTCCTGATGAGCACTCAAACTGACAAAGTTTCTTTCCTATTTCCTTCTCATTTGATGTAGATACTATTGATGAAATAGAGTAAACAGAAAGAAAAAAAGGCTTGAATTATCTAAGTCAATATTTCATTATATATAGTCTAGCATTAACCTCCACAAAAAATTACTTACATCTGCTTAAAAAGTTGTCAATATTTTTGTTTTTTCTTAAGGCAGGAAAATCCAAATCATATACCAAAGCATCCAATCCATCCTAAACAAATAAACAAACAAACAAAGTTAGTTTTTAGATCACACTATGAACACATTCCTCTTTCATGAGTATAAAGAGTAAAACTTATGCTTTAACATTTAATCTGCTTAATCTGCCTTTCTCTCACACATCCTGCATTCATTTAACACCTTCCCACAAGGTTACATGAGTCCTGGAAGAAGAGAAAACTCATTTTTATTTCATACAGAGCAGAGGTCCCCAACCCCCAGGCCAGTACCAGTCCGTGGCCTGCTAGGAACCCGGCGGCACAGTAGAAGCAAGCAGTTGTCTTCCACAAAACCAGTCCCTCATGCCAAAAAGGTTGGACACTGAATAGAGTTTTCACTTTCTAACTCTACCAGGCAGAGGAACAGCAAAATCACCACAAACTGGCTACAAGTGACGTCAACTCATGCCCTTTTCACCATATAAGGGCATGAAATTTTACTTTTCACTTCCCTTTAACTACTGCGTTTATTTATTTCATAGACATTCATAAAAAACAAATGACCTACATTTTGGACCACAAATATTTTATAAGGTAGTATCAAATATTAGTTCCTAAAATGTGAAGTTTAGTATAAAATAAATTCTGCATTTAGATCCATTTTTATGGTGTGTATATAAATATATTGGGGTTCTCTTTCTTTGAAACACTTTTTAGAACAACCACTAGTAAGGGACAAACATGGGCTTTTACTTTTACTTTAAAGGGACATTTAAGTATTATCTAAGAAAGAGCAGGACAATGCGGAGGTGTACCAATCAGTGTTCAAGTATGAATGCATCTATTCAGATTAAATCTTACCAAGGGAAAACATTCAGACAATCCCAAGTCATCTTCATTTTATTTAACTGGGGAAAGTTTGCTACAAAAGAGCCCAAAAATAAAAAGCAGCAAAGGAAAACACACCTTCTGGAGACCATGAAGTCATGTTCATAAAAGTCTGAAATAGAAATTAAAGCTAGGGGAGATATACATTGTGTTAAGTCAAAGGTATGAATAACTCCAGCTATTTTAGAACACTTAAAATATTTCTCTAGGAAACTGAAAAGTCTAGTCAAATTTTAATAGGTTTTAAAATATATCACTGCTTAGGCTGGAAACTGACCATGGAGAAGATGACTAGTAGTAATACCAACAACGTTGTGGACTGCTTAAAGAGACCAACTAACCCTATTGCTGGCTTTTCAGAATTCAGAGGTTTGTACAGATCTGAAGAAAAAGTCTCCCCACCGGAGCAAGTTCATCTATCCTTGAGACACATTTCTTAGTCTCATAAAGCATTTGAATATTTCTGTTAATGATTTTTACAATAAAGAGATGAGAATATTTACTCAGTGTATTGAAAACCAATCAATAAATATATTAATTCACTGTTTTCTGGGACAAAGTATATTAAATGTATATATGCCCCTTTGACTAGATTTTAAATTCTTTAAAGAAGAAACCACAGTTAACATCTCATTTTCTCCCACAGCATCTTCCAGTGGGCATAAAATGTACATTAAGCCAATGATTTTTTCACTCCAGAGCAAATACATTATATTACTCAAGAAACAACACTTTCCTTATTAGATAGTAAGTTTCAGCAGACCATGTCACTCCAAAAAAAATGCACAGATTATAGAGTAATGCAAATAATACTAGCCCCACAATTTTAGGTTGAATTTTGATAAACATTTCCAGGAAATACAAGTAGGCACAATGCAATAAAAATCAACATATTATTACATCTTATAATAAGTACTATTTTAAGAGCTCCTACTTCCAAAGACACTTTTCAGTTTTAAAAGGTTCAGAATATCTAAATTTATGACAATTTAAGTTGTTTTCTAATATCCAATAAAATATTAGAAAAGTGAGGGAAATGTGCATTAAACTTTACTCACAACACACCCTTTCCAATAAATATACTGCAAACTGTCTACAATCTTACTCCAAATAATTTTTTTTAATTACTAAATGTTAGGAAAGAACCTCAAAAAATCCCTTGTTCAATTAACCACTACATTCCATAGTCAAGGCAAATAACAATCAGAAACATTAACTGATTTGTCCGACAGCACAGAGCTAGTTAGTAAGTTGTGTTACCACCAAAATACGAACTCTTAGTCTAATAGTTATAGAAATAACATAACCATGATAAAAACATGATTTAAAAACCCTGTATCTCTAAAATGAAGTTAGGAATTGAGAACAAACATGTATATTTAAGTCCAAGATGCACTGTTCAAAAATTAAGCGAAAATCACAAGTCATTCTTCTAATTAAAACTAGAAAGTACACTGGTTAGGACTCAAACCTAGGGTCCTGGGTCAAAGTACTACATCTTTTCTAGTACGCCACCATATCCTCTTCTGCATGACCTTCCGCAAACTACCTATGAAATCAAACAGTTTTCCTTGTATTAGAGTTATTTTTTACTTTAATCTCCACAGCTCGATTTCTGATGCAGCAACTAAACTGAGCCCCAGAACTGAGCATGACATTTTACTCACCGCATCTCAGATACTGTTGACTCTCCTACCCCAACAACTATTTCCTCCTTCTACCTTCCTAATTCAATTTTGATTTTGTTCGGGTCAACCCACCTTTCTCCATGAAACTATGAGCTTCCATGAAGGGAGAGATCTTCCCCAACTCAAGGAGGTCATTTCTAATTTAAGCTAAACATGGAGGCCTATTACTCTTGCCCGTGTTCAGCTTAAGTACAGGAACATGGTAATAATCTGGCACATCAAATGTGAGGGGAAAACCTACAAAAAGGTTTCTGGGGAAAAGTTTCTTCTCTCCTGAAAGAGATACATGTCAGAGATAGTCTCTCCTTTTATGAGAAACTGTCGTATCTCTACATGACACTTAAACAACAGCAGCCACCTCAGGGCCTCAAGGGAAGTTGGCAGGAGACAAAGCCAAACACAATGAGGACAAGAGAGATGAAAGATGGAAGGAACTCGAGTCTACAATGATGCTTCTGAAAAACTGAATTAATCTACTCTGGAAACTATCCTTCCCTTTCTATCTCAAGATAATACATTTTCCTTATGGTTTAACTCAATTTACACTGGATCCTCTACTTCTTGTAACCTAAATGAAGTGAAAGTCACTCAGTCTTGTCCGACCCTTTATGACCCCATGAACTGTCCATGGAATTCTCTAGGTCAGAATACTGGAGTGTGTAGCCTTTCCCTTATCCAGGGGATCGATCGAACCCAGGTCTCCTGCATTGCAGACATATTCTTTTCCAGCTGAGCCACAAGGGAAGCCCAAAAATACTGGATGGGGTAGCCCATCCCTTCTCCAGCGGATCTTCCCGACCCAGGAATCGAAGAGGTGTCTCCTGCATTGCAGGTGGATTCTTTAACAACCGAGCTTTCAGGGAAGCCCCTGATGCGACCGAGAGCACCCTGAAACACAGAGAGTTCATTAAATGCCAATGTAGAAGATATAGGACTTATTGCACCGAAAGGGTGAGAGAATCATCCATTCAAACAGTGAGACCAGGGGCAAGATGGGGCTAACAAAAAAGTCACTCTTTGGTAATCGCTGTTTGTATAACTGAGCCTCAGTTTTCTCTTTTGTAAAATGGAAATAACTCACAACTCAGAAAGGCTCTGCGAGAGTTAAATGAGTGAAGTATTCAACCCTTAAACAGTTCCACTTTTCACTCTTTACTTCTCTAGCTGACATTTGAAAGCTCTAGAAGTTAGTCTCACTACTGACAGAAATGACATAAAGAGAAAATAGGTATTTTGGTCATGTGGTCATAAAACCTCAAGAGTAAATCTCAGGTTATGATATTAAATCCCTGAGTGTAGAAATCCCATATAAAATTACAAGTTTTTAAAAAAAAAAAACAAACATAATGCATCTGACTGTTCTTAACAATAGAATTCTCGCAAGCATTTGTTAATGGAAAACGAGTGGCCTCCACTAACTTGTGCACAGTCACCAGGACTAGGTGTCTGGCCCTATCACCATATACTTTGATTTTACAATTGCAGGAGACGGTATACAGTTTTTCAGTATCATTCATAAGCCAAAATTATATATATATTTTTTTCAAAATTATATTTTTTATCAGAGAAATAGAATGGGCAAGATGGTATCCTTCTAGCATAATCTAAGGTATATACCAACAGAGGCTATAAGGGGAGTCAAAACACTGAGTTTGGGGACAGGGATGCAGGCTTCCACTTTAATGGAGTAGAGAAGCTACACAAGGTAATACAATCTTAGAGTAGGACAAAGAATCCTGACTTTTATTCAATACTCTGAAGCTCTGTAAAATAATGGAGAATAAGACTTGCCACTTCCTAAAGTCCATATTCTAGTACCAGAATTCAGAACCTTAACAGAAATTAACATTCATTATTATCCTCCCATAATAATCGATTATTATGGAGAGGAGTCAATGTCAAAGAATTACAAAAATTAAATCCTTTGCTGTGTATATTTGAACAATGACAGTAGACCAGTTATGGCAGTGCATTTTGAAAGAGACTAGTCACATTAGAGAAGTATTGAATACTTTCACATAAACACACAAAGGCATCCATAATTAACAACAAGTATAACATTTCATAAGAAACTCTAAAGAATGGACATTTCATATGTCTTAAAAAGAGCCAGTATTAGGAGCAGGGAAAGCACCAGTAGTGTTATCTCACAACAGAGTTTAAGTAAAGGAGAAGCAGGAGGAAATTATTCAACTTAACACCGCTGCAAACTTCAGTCTCTGGATAGTTCTGAATTACAAAAGTAAGATTCCAGTGTAAAAGATCATTTAAGATTAGGTCCATTAGTAATAATACACCTGTCATAAAGTACAAGAATATAAAGGCACTAGGAAAGAAAAATATACTATGTATAAAAAATTTCATATTTAAGTAAAATTTCAAAATCAAAATCGTTACTATTCTAAATAAGACTTTTTTGAGAAACTACCCCCCCTGCAAAAAAAATTAAAACTAAGGCAGTAAAACAAGGACTTTTG